AAGAGTGGTGAAACATTGGAACAGGCTGCCCAGGGAAGTGGTGGAGTCCCCATCCCTGGAAGTATTCAAAAGACGTGTAGATGTGGTGCTTAGGGACACGGTTTAGTGGTGGACTTGGCAGTGTTAGGTTTGGGGTTGGACTTGATGATCTTAAGGGTCTTTTCCAACCTAAATGATTCTATGATTCTATAGGTGAGAGTTGAGTTTTTCACTGTCTGTTGAAATTCATCTTTTTAAATACGGGAAAACCTCACTAATGCTCTGGAGAAATGACCCAAACCATTTTTTTGTTGTTTTTCTACTTACAAAACTTCCCTGAAAAAAACACCTTGATATATCCTCTTTGATGATCCACCAAACATCCATTCTGTGAAGTGTTGAGTGACTGATCTTTTTCTAGACAGGTTCCTGAATGTGCATGATAAGGAGTAGTCGTATTCCCTCCTTCTCAACATCTATTGTCACTCTTCCTCCTTGTATGTCCACTTGCATTGTACTCATAGAGCTAATTTTCACAAATTCCAGGCAAGAGCACTGGATCGATAAATCCACACAAAATAGCAGTATATTCTGCTGTCTAAGTACAGCAGCAAAGAAGACAAATTCATTCTAGCAGGTTTTTCAGACAACATGATTGACTTTAGCTGACTCTTCCCTTAATGCATTTTTTCAAAGCTACAGGAAGGAGATTTGAGTACATACAGCAAGTTCACAAAGATCAGCTTTGAAGTTGCTTTTAGAGAAGAGTAATTTAAACATAAGCACCAAAAAAGTTGTTCCTTTTAAAAAGGAGGATTCTCTGTAGCGTCTGTTAAAACAACTTAACAAAGAGGATAACACCATGACTAAAATATTTATACTTCATCACAGGCCCTTTGAATAATAATTAAAAAAAAAAAATCACTAGTTTATTCATCTTTCTTAATGATACAGAGAGGAAAGAAGTACCTAAACAATGAATAATAATGCAGAAACTCAGACTGTAAAATCAATATGTCAGCTCAGTAGAGCTGAGCTTCTTTCTAATGCTGCTGTTCCAACAGTAGTTTACCTTCTGAATTATATATGTATTGACCTAATTATATAAATATTGACTTTGCTTTGTATGAAGCCTTTTTCAGTCTCAGTGTAATTACAATGTCAATATTTGTTGCATGTAATAACACTGAATTTAGACTTGTTAATTTTGATTGATAGTGGCATGCCATAAGTTATTATATGGGATAAGACAGTTAGTCTAGAAGTATGCATAGCAAATACAAGCAGCTCACAATGCTACCAAATCTGAATGTGTCTCCAAGACGTTCTGTTTCTGATTGTTTAACCAGGCAGAGGGAATATAACGGGTGATCACATCCTTGTTCCATACAAAGCACTGTTTTGAGATGGAGAAATATTTACCCTGGTCCAAAAAATTACAAATATTCAGCCAGGAACTCAGTAAAAGGGTTCCTGTTTAAGGTTAGCTTTACAATTTTGCCTTACAATGTTGTAAAGTCTGTTTAAATTGTGCCAAAATGGAGGTTTTATATAGCAATGCGTATACTTTACTGCATGCCTTCCATCAGGTATACATTATTTTGGAATAATATTGGGACCCAGACACAAGCAATTTCACATTAATTTATTTCCCTTTTCTTTCAAATCCAAGAAAGATGTGAGCAGTGGACTTTTAGGTACTACTGGGACTTGCAAAACTGTTCACTTCAGTCTGCAAATGTTTGCTGAGATATTTTTCTACAAGAACAACTTTGTTCAGAGCTGGCAGACCTCTGAACTACTTTCAACGGTGAATAGCCATATAGTATAGTGTATGTTTCTAGATGCAATTATAAAGGATTTTGAATTTGGCAGTAACATGAGAATTAGAAACCAAACTGTGACAGTCTGCGTGCTGAGGATATTTAAATTTGTTCTAGCTATAACATGTTGCCAGTAGTAACAAAGCATGCATCATACTATATTTTCTTATTTGTCTCAGCAGGGATGCCAGACAAGACGAACCTCAGTGACGTAAAACAAATCCATCAAACCAACGATGGCAGCACTTTAGACACAACTGGAGCAGGATGTACAACAATGTCTGATTATATGACATTTATGCTGATTAGTTTGGTAACACTATTTCTCAGTCTTTGGTAACTGTTTAGCTCTGGCTTGATATATGTGTCTCATTGTCATCTGTTTATCCCCACTCACAAGCCTGGAATAAGGGGTCTGGTGGATATAGCAATATTTATGATAACTTGTATAATATCAGCCTCTCTGATCTTAGGCCTGAATAGTAACAAAGTTGTTTCTGTATTATTTTTCCTGTGTTTTTATTTAACACCTGTATAGTCATGCAAAGTCTTGTTTCCTTTTATAATATTTTATGTCAAAAATAAGTTGACTATGCTAATGTTTCTCTTAAAAGCGATTTGTAAAAAAGAGATCACAGAATCACCGAGTCACAGAAGGGGCCCCTGGAGATCATCTAGACCAACCCTGTGCTCAAAGTGGAGTCAACTAGAGCAAGCTGCCCAAGGCCAATCCAGTTGCTCTTTGAATGTCTCCAAGGATGGAGACTCTACAGCCTCTCTGGGCAACCTGTTCCAGTGCTTGAACACTCATAGCAAAAAAGTTTTTTCTTACATTTAAATGTTATTTATTGTATTTCAGTTTGTGCTCATTGCCTCTTGTCCTGTCACTGGGCACCTCTGAGAAGAGTTTGGCTCCATCTTCTTTACTCCCCTTATCAGGTATTTATACACTTTGGTAAGATCCCCGCTGCATCTTCTTTTCTCCAGGCCAAACTGTCCCAGCTGACTCAGCCTCTCCTTGCATAAGACTTGTTCCTGTCCCTTAAAAATCTTCATGGCCCTTTGCAGGACTCTATCCAATATGTCCATGTCTCTCTTGTCCTTGGGAGCCCAGACCTAGACACAGCACTGTAGATACAGTCTTACCAGTGCTGAGCAGAGGGGGAGAATCACCTCCTTTGACCTGCTGGCAACGCTTTTCCTAATGCAGCCCAGGAGGATGTTGGTTGCCTTTGCTGCCAGGGCACATTGTTGGCTCATGTTTAACTTGGTGTCCATCAGGACCCCCAGTTCCTTCTCTGTGAAGCTGCTTTCCAGCCAGCATGCACCAGCACGCACCGGTGCATGGGGTTATTCCTCCCCAGGAGGAGGACTTGGCATTGCCCTTTCTTGAACTTCATGAGGTTCCTGTCAAGCCATTTCTTCAGTCTGTCAGGGTCCCTCTGAATGGCAGAACAACTCTCTGGTGTATCAGCTACTCCTCCCATTTTTGTATCCTCTGTGAGAACTTGCTGAGAGTGCACTCTGTTACATCATCCAGGACATTAATGAAGAAATCAAACAGTATCAACCCCTGGGGTAAAACAGGAGTAACTGGTCTCCATGTGGACTTTGTGCTGCTATTCACAATCCCACATATAACTGATAGCAACTGATGAAACATTTGCTCAGCACTTTATGAGTTTTGTATTTAAAGTCCTGCCTTCTGGGACATGATCCCTGTAAAACAGAAAATGTCGAATTTGCCCTTCTGTCTTTCTCCAAAAAGGAAAAAAATGCACACTGTAAAGTCAGCTAATTTTAGTAGGAATTACTTTTCTTAGTTCAGAAAAACTACTTATTAGATACTGTATACGTATATGCAGATACACATATAACTGCATTTTTTCTAGAGATAACAGCAAGGTTAGGATTCAATGTTGGATTAAGGTATCTTAATCTATATGTCTACATAAAGATATTTACATGTGCTATATATCTATTCCATATGTGCTCTATATCTCTAAGCTGTCACCGAAGTCAGTGGAAATACAGAGTAACACTCAATCACTAAAATACCAGCAATGAGTGCCAGTTAGGACGCTGTAAAAAAACCCCACCTGGTGTCCAGCTACTGCTCTGAGGGCCCTCAGGTTTTTCTGTGGGCAAGTGACCGGAGCCCTTTGTCAACACAGTCAATGAAGCCCAGTGCATTATTCACCTCATATGAAGACAGACATCTAAGAAAGCAACTCAGTTGCCCAAAAGTAAGTGTCTGGTGCCACCTAACATTTTTTGGAGTATCCAAGACATCCTCATGGGACTGGCATATATGATGCAGGATTTATGGGAAATTCCAGAGGCTTCCTTAAATGGGAGCCATCCAGAGTGGCAGCTGGTAGCTAAGTGGGATATCCTTGTATATCTCAAATAGATCTAGACATGCATATGTGGGCCCATGAATCATACGCCAAGTCTCCATCAGTAATATCGGGAGCTTAGATACCTAGTTGAAGCGGTGACACGTGAATGTAAATCTGAATCACAACATGAATCCCAGCTCAAGTTCTTATGCTTTATAAGATGAGGCAAGCTAAAGTGCTCCACAGTGCTAATGGTACATTATGTATTACTGTTATAAGATTTGATTATCCTGCCATGACTAATTCCCATGTCATTTTAACCAGAAAGTATTTAAGGCTATTTTGTAGCTACTTCTCCTTTACAGTCCTTTACAAGAGAAAAAAATAAATGGTACAGTATTGTATGCACTCATACTGTACCTAGAACTCTTCCTAGACTGTAAAACAGTTAATTTTATATGATACTAATATAAAGAAACATATGTAAATATTTTTATTCCCAAATGCATGCATTAGTCATTAGTGCACACAGTATAATATACAGGTAAACAGATATAAAATTTAGAAAAGCAAGTGAACATTACTAAGAGCAATTCCATGCCCAGATAAACATCATTAATAGACATGTGTGCCAGTGTGTAAATTGTATTTGACCTCTTTTTTCTTTTGCAGGTTTTGTAAACCAGTCTTTCAAATTCATTTGTCTTGTCTCAGCATACACTGAAATTATGACATTGGTAATTCAGGGAAAGAAAATCTGATTTCATTCTTTTCCTTTTTCATGCCAGCTCAAACCAGTAATCAATCTAGTCCGGCAACAATTTTTTTTAACAATGAATGACCAGTGTCAGTCACTTCAAGGAAAATGGAATAAAGCTTTGAATAAGAGTTTCAGAAATGGAGAAAAAAAATCTACCAGTACTCATTACTTAGAATGTTATTTATATCCTGAAGCACTTTTTTTCCATTCCTCACTTTCGTGTGTTGTTCAAGACCTTACTGATGGCACCAGGTAGTCAAGGAGATAACAGTTTATTCTATAGCACCTTGGAAACACAAGCCCCATTTTCAAATAATAGTAGTAATTAGCTCCTAAGGCCTCTTCAGGTATATGTTAATTACTAGTCTGTGTTAATCCTCTGTTCTTCATGGCCTGTTCCCCTTATCTTCTACACTGCACCTACACAAAGTCATTTCTAAGATCCCTTCTGGAGTGGAAAATTAGGTCTCTCCTTCCCAGACACATATGAACAAACTAGTGGCAATATGAATACAACAGTGGCAGGTCTGGAGATCCCTCACTGGCCCCTCGGCCATGAGACCTCACTCACCCTCCTGTCCCATCTATCTCTAGGCATCACCACACACTCCACATGATAGCTTAGACTCATACGTCTTCCAGGCTGCATGATGATTCTTTCATCATATCTACCACGCTACAAAGAAATATTCTTGTTTCTTAAAGAACTATAAAAAATCATTAAAATAGCTCAGAGCAAGGAGAAGGAAGCCAAGGCTGTTTGGCAATCTGTCTCAAGGTTACCTTGCAAGGGAGTAGCCTTGCAAGAAACTGTGGGAACATAGCATGATGTTGAAGTGTAGCTCCAAGTTTGGCAACTGGAAAAGAAAAAAACCTGCAATGTTGCCTGTGTTAAAGCCAACAATGAAATGAGGAATAGCACTGAGCAGAAAAATGCAGAGTATGTTAGAGAAGCCAGGAGGATAAAAAGAAAAAAAGGCTAAACTGGAGATCATGACTATACAGTGTAAAAACATCCGTATCCACATAAAATGGTGGACCATATGCAGTATGTATGTGAGCCACTCTGGATTGCCTTGGGATGCAGAGTCTTTTCCCAACAGCAGATCATACAGGCAGCACAGGGCTGCCACTGAGCTTCCCAGATGACCTGAGAAATGGCACCTAGGTCTTGGTTGCTCTGAGTACTTTCACTCAGACATTTTAACAGTCTAAAACTTCTCCGTATCTCCCAAATCCTTTGGTGAATGAGATTTTTGTTTTGTTTTGCTTTCTTTTAAATAAACTTTTCATGTATTATAGCTGATACGGTTTAAAGAAGGAATGCTGTGCTCAATGTGTACTATTTTTCAGACTCATTCAAATGCTGTTTATACTAAAATTGCAATAGATATTACTATTAAAGTTACGTAACTGGTCTCAGTACTTTTAAAAAAAAGCCACAACCATCAGGTGAGAGAGCTTTGTAGGGAATAATTTCTTAGAGGACAGTGTAGTTACTTGTAAAACTATTTCAGAAAAAGAATAATTCTAAAAAATACAACATTTCAAAAATCCAGAATATTTTTATCTGGTAAGATCAAGCTATTCTTCTTGAATGTCCATTTTTATTTTCTTTAGATGTACCTGTATGTTTAAATGCATCTGTACCTCCTGGGAAAAAAGTACTGAAGTACTTGTTCTCATAACTAATGTCCTAGCACTTTAAATAGATATTTCAAGATGACAGCTTTCCCAAGTGTAGCCAGTGAAAGAGAACAAAAAACACTTATTTCCTTCAGAAGCAGATATCATTGTTCCTTTCATAACTAATAAAAGATGAAGCACAACTATAGCCATGTAACAGGTTATCTTTGTCTTTCTCTTTCTATAGATAGACAGATACACATATACATCATTTATTTCTCTATACCTGTATTTTTATATGTTTACTAAGATAATATTCTTGTTCAGATTATAACAGGGTTTAGATTAAGCTATCGAAGATTTCAGATTAACATTAATATTTCCATAGAATCTTCTCAGGAGCATGAATTAAAATAACTGGTTGAAGCTATCTCTGCTTAGGGTTTTTTTAAGTTCAATTCTACTCTGAAATAATTATGTAAACAGGAATCTTATTCAGCAAATGATGCTTTTTTCTGTGTGCTCTGAGTCACAACTGATTATAATAGGAATAAAATAAAAGTTGTTTCTAACTACATTAGACTAAAAAGCTAATGTAGCTCTAGTAAAACC